ATTTCACTTGTTCACTTACACTCAAACACTTACATTTTGGGTTGTGAATTCTCTTGTGTTTACCAAATTTGGGTTGTAAATCTATAAACTTTTATTGTAAATCTTCAAATTTTACTTGCTCATTTGCACTTAAATACTTGCATTTTGGGTTATGACTTCTATTATGTTATTTGTGAATTGCCTAATTTTTGTTGCAAATTTCTGAATTCCACTTGTAAATCGTCTAATTTCACTTGTTCACTTACATTTGGACTGTTGTGTTTATTTTGTTATATATAGTTTTATTTGCATTTTATGATTGAATGGGTTGCTTGGCTTGGTGGTTACAAGTCTTTTGGTGTGCCAAGGGATCCTGGGTTCAAACCCTCCCTTAGCCACTTTGTTTTAAACAAAAAAAACTCCGGCCACCGGAGGTCCCGACAGCGGCCACCTGAGCGCCAGTGGCCAGACCTCCGATCTCTGGTGGCCGGAACAGTAACTCCGGTAAATATTTATTTTTTAATAAAATAAAAAGGGAGGGGTATTATTGTAATCTCACTCTAAAATGAGGGGCACTAGAGCCGGGAAAACGGGCCGAGCCCGTTTAGGCCCTAAAATTATGAGGGCCGGGCTTGATATTTTTCTCTTAAAATGAGAAATAAGCCCTGAAGGGCCGAGGGCTTAAAAGGGTCGGCCCTGGAGGGCCGCGGGCCGGCCCTTTTAAGCCCTTTTATAATTTTTTTATTTTTTAAATTTTTTTATATAATATTGATGTTATTAATTTTTTACATTGTTAATAATATTTCAAATATTTAGTTATTATTATCATTTAAAAATTAAATTTAGTTTTAGACAATAATTTATCCAATTATAGATAAAACTTTTAGATGTTGTTATCTTGTTAATGAATGTTTTAGATATTCTTAGATGTTGATGAATATTTATATATGATGATATTTTATATTTGTGACTTAATTTTATTCATATTTATGTCTTTTATTATAATTTCATTGGTTTATTTTATATTTTTATAAAAAAATATGATAAATATAAAAAATAGTATTTTTTCTTAAACGGGCTAAAAGCCTGCTGGCCAGCCCTGGCCTTGTAGCTTAAGGGCCAGGCTTAGCAAATTGGGATATTTTTAAAATTTCAGCTCTGGAGGGCCGACCCTTTTAAGCCCGCCAGCCCTGAAGGGCCGGCCCTGATTCCCAGCTCTAGCAGTGGCGTCATTTCGTTTGTGGAATTAATATCAGATTAGTCCCTTGGTCTTGCAATGGGGTTTCAGAAAGTTTTGGGGGCTCTTTGATATTAATTGTCTTCTGCGGTCCTACAGTGAAATTTTTCCTTATATTTATATTGTTCTTATGCTTCTTTCTATATATTTTTTGTGCTTCTCAATCAGTTTTTAGTTATTTATTTTTAATATCCTCTTAAATGAAAATAATTTTTAATAGTTTTTATAATATTCTTAATTTTTAACATTATTTTTTATTTTTTATTTATATAAATTATGCAAACTTACAAAGTGTATCACCCAATTAATTATATAATATTATTTGGTTAAAAAATTTCAACATCACTATGATTTCTAATTTAAATATATTTTATTTATTAAATATAATTTATTATTATTATAATAATTTAAAATTATTACATTTTGTAAGTTTATATTTTTAATTATTTTTTATTATTTAATAAAAATCATACCCATTTTGGACCAAACTTATTTATTCAATCATAATCTAAACAACTTTTTTACTTTGCAAACTAACTTTTTATAAAAATCAATCTAAACATAAATCATATTACCGAATCTAACTTTTACTCAGTCCGAGATTAAAAATAAGTTTTTTTTTTACTGCTAATCCAAATAGACCCAATATAAGGTCACGGGTGAGGATGGTCCATGAAAACTGCAAAATATCAAAAAAGAATTGCATTGCTCATCGGGAAAAGCGAAACAGTCGATAAATATTGTTCATTACAACCAAATACCAATTAAGGAAATCTAAGAATTAATAGTCGTCTATTATTGGGTACGTAGTGTATTGACTGTATTCGGTTTGGAAGATTAACGTCAGGGAGATAGTCGATCACTTCTGCGCAATAATAATTAGTACTCCTCCGGTCCTTATTATAAGACCCAATTTGACTTTTTATTTGGTCCTAATTATAAGACCCAATCCATTTTCTCTTTTATATTTATGCATTTTTTTTCCAAGATAATCCTTCTAATAATGATAGTTTTAGTCAATATACTTAATTAGCAAGGATATTTTAGGAATAACAACACTTATTTATTATAAATAACCAACTTAACTTACTTCCTTAATCTCCTCAAATAAGTCAATTGGGTCTTATAATTAGGATGGGAGGAGTATCAAACTAGAAAGTAAAGATAGCCCTGCATCCAGAGAGCACGTTAGTGGAAGTAAAATAGTCTGATTTACTTTTCTCTTGTAGTTATTCATAAATCTATAGTACTTTAACGTTAAATTCCCGTTTTTCAGCATCAGTTTTTTCAACATGTGATAGACTGTAGCTTCAGAAAATAGTTAAAGCATTTTCTTAATCTTTGAAAGTCTTACTTTTTCCTCTAAAGTAAGGAACAATTTGAATTCAACTAATATTTAATGAAACACAGAAGATTTATTGAAACAAATCAACCTCATTCGGCAGAATTAATGCGACAGTAACTTGGTGAGATATTAAAGGGCAGAATCGTCTGTTGATTCCATGTACTGAATATTTTCAGCTTATTTGTCGCTAAAATATTTTCATTGCTAACAGCATTTACGTACATGCATCAAGAATCGATCTCCAGTAGCATGAAAAGTAATAGCATTATTGTCTACCTTGTGTGGTGCCATTTCAACAAGAACGAATCGAACATGAATGTGTGAATATGAATGTCACTAACAACGGGTTCTATTGAGAACGTGCATCGGAAGAGATGAAAGCGATGGGTAGCAAGGTAAATGAACAACAATCAATGGGGTTTGTTCGCAAGCCGCTGAACAAAGGAATTACTTAATGCCGAAATTACAGGAAAGGGAAAAAGAAGGAAAACCTAACCTGAGGAGGAGCCCAGGATGTCTGAACTTTCCATAGAGGGCTCCGCCAACCCGAAAGGGGATGTTTATCGGAGCCCCTCAGTGTGGCTGTGCATACGTGAGGCTCGTAAACGAAGGCATGGTAACCCAACATTCTCTCCCTCGTCTCTCTGCTTTAGATCTCATAGTACTGTTTGCTTGGAAATATTAAAAATGAGAAACAAGAATTATGACTGTAATTGAGAAAATTTATTTAAAAAATCTTTAATATGAATAATTGTTTGTTACGTGAAATTAAACAAACTCATAGAGGTGAGATTAGAGAATACACTCTCTCCTCTGATTGGTCGTAGGTTCGAATCCTACTTGGAGAGATTTGATTCATTCCGAATTCCTTAATTCGGAATGAAAGGGTTCGCTTTGACCGTTAAGAGTGAGTAACCCGTTCCCTGTGTCTTTGTTTCTATTGCATTCTATATCATTATATCCCATTCTGTTCTATGATATTTGAGAATCGCCGTCAATACCTGGGTGTAGGTCCGAGATACTCCTTTGTTCCACAGTCCGGGGCTATTTAAACTAACCAATTAAGAATTCTCAGATGTACTAGTATTAGCAGCTAATTCATATAGAGCCATCAAACCGGCCCAACCAGCAACCAGAGCTATATGCATTATATGGTCAAAAAGTAAACGGCCGGAGTATTCTCTAATCCTCTATATATAGGTTTGTCTAATTTCATGTAACAGGCAATATCACATGTTAAATATTCTTTTAATAGATTTTTTTAATCTCAATTATAATCTCTATATCTTATTTTTAATGTTTTGTAGCAAACACGAGGAAAGTTTTGCCAAATGTCGCGGAATCGATGCCATCATGTAATGTTTTCCCGCTCCCACCTCCGTGGAGAGGAATTACCACGGCTTCTCTAAATTCTTATCTGACTAAAAATTAAATTTTATAAACTTGAAAAACTAGCCTTTTAAATTATTATGTAGTGTTTATATACTTGAAAATGCGCTTTGTGATTTTTTACAAGAGAAATCACTTTCTACGATGTTAGTGTCTACTTATACATTCTCTGCGAGTTAATTCATCTAGATTAGTAACATGTATTATATATTAGCGGTGATTGAATGGAGGGAGGCATAGGACAAAAACACGTCGTATTTAATCAATAAACCTCATTATTTATTTGAAGAAATAATGCCATTGAAAATGAGAGCTAGTTGTAACACATGATGGTAACACCACCTTACTCTGGTCAAAAAAAAAAACACCACCTTATTTTTTTGCGGGCCCCATAGAGCTCCTAAATCTTCGCAGATAGAATTCGATGGTTGGGCCATTGAATTCCCCTTTTCTTTTTGTTTAATTTCGACGCGCACAAGATAATTTAGATTTGTTTCTGAACACAAAAAAATTTAGGGACAGCACCACCAACAAAAAACCCAAACAAAAGTATTGATCCTATCCGTTCCTATCAATTTGGGCAATTGATGCCAGGGACAGGTCCTAGTCCCAATGTGACCTAAGAACATACTCTGTTCTGAGAATTCCCTTTCCGCGTCACGTCATTTCAAGCCCTTCCGTAAACATCAGTCTTGTAGGGAAAGGTCTAATACACTAAAAACGCTAAGTTGTTCCTTTCAGACCATATAGAATCAGGGCCACCGTTAATGACAGCGGCATTAGTTGATCCGTCGCTCATATCGCTTTCTACTTTAATTATTTAGTTACCCATTTAAGAACTCATGGGCAATGTGAAAGTGATCGTATCGTATCGTATCGCATCTATTTGTTCATAGCCTCGCAAACGAGCATCGCATGAAAGAAGATTATCAGTAGGTTCTTATCCTCCCTAGCGCATAGATTATACAGTGACAAAAGACATCCGATGCTTTTATGGCTTAAACTCTAACTGGTAGCATTCTTGAGAAGCTTCCACGGGGAAAAAGGATCGATCTGCAAGACATTTTCATTTACCTAAATACTCTGCACATCTCATTGACTGATTCATCTCTAACGCAAATGTCTCACCATTAAATGACTTTTTTGGCCAAGCTTGAGTAATTACCAGAAGGCAATAACAGGAGACGGTCAAGTTTGGAGTCCTCAGGTTTAAAATGAAATATCTATTTAAAAAAAAGCACATATATATTGGTAATTTATACATAGAAGGAGAGTAGCATAAGGCAAAGATAGACATGACCATAACCTCTACCCTGTGTCAGAATGCATATTCCCACGTGAACAGGGAATAGCCACTTCTAAAAGAGCTACCCTTACCTCCACCAGTAAAGTTGCAAATTTCATCAACAATTAGACATGGTATATCATCCCAACTTCGATGAGACTGATGTGAGGAATGTTAAGGGCCACGGCTGGACCTCTGCAGTTTTTCCGTAGAAATGAGTATCCAACATCAATTGCGAGCTTGTTCAAGAATGAAGACGACTTTCTTGCCTTTACGTATGAGTGGCCCATGATATATGCAACCCCAGCCTCCTTTGCTTGAATTAGATCCAAAAGTTCCTCCTTCACAGCAGGATCCATACCCGGATTGTTAGGTAGCTGAAATCGTACTTGACGCCTCCTGGTTTGTGTGGCATCGTCTTCAAAAAAGGATTGCAAATTTCTCAGGGTAATTGATTTGCTGCTGGGGATGGAGTCGTCCACACCAACATCCTCATGCTGAGACACTATTAGTGTTGAAGTTGACTCTAAGCTTCTGGTGCTTATTACAGCCATCCTCCCATCAAGTGAAGAACTTTCAGGGCTTGAGAACTGTGGTTCAACTGCTTCCATCTGGATAAACTGAACTAGACTCTGTATGAGCTGATTCTCGAAGTCATTGTCATCTCTTTGAATGTCCTTGTACCCATATCTAACAATGCATCTATACATTCGATAAGGCCCGGGGCAAACTCGCCCAACAAGGAATCGTTCTTCAGGTGATACGTATGGAACAGGAACTGATTTTACACAAACAAAAACCAACACCTTGTGAAATGCAGGGAGATTTGTTACAAAGTGAGAAAATATTGCAGGTACTCCTGTTGCCAGTTCTGAGTAGATGAGACCAATCCCTGGGACGCGGACAATGCCAAGGCTAGGACCCAAACCTAATAACCATTTTAATGAAACTTTGTTGTGGAGATCAAAGTTATACTTTCTACGAGTACCATAATGCCATACATACATGACAACCATGAAGATGAACGACAGGGCAAGAGGAGCCCATCCTCCTTGAGGCACTTTTGTGAATGCTGCTGATAGATACACAGCCTCTATTACCCAAAAGAATAAAAGAAATATGGCAGCAAGCAGAACACTTTTTTGCCAGACAAAGATGATGACAAGAGCCATCAGAAATGTTGTCACAAACATGACTGTTATACAAGCAAGTCCTGCGAACCAAATACCCAATGAGAACGAACATCAGTAAGATTTTTGGGGGGGAAAAAAACATAAAAAATCTAGCTCTCATGTCTGGGGGGCGATTTTTTTCTCCCTTCATTGAAAAGCTAATATACCATGTGCATAAAGCATTTCTACCACAGAGCACAGATTCAGTGTCGTGGAATTTTTTAATTGAAAACTTAACACATTCATTCTGGTGCAAGCAAGCAAAATGATCAAACTCAGACACGTTTACTAGGAAGTTTGTGGAACTGGCATATCAATGCTGAACCCTGATATGGTATGGCATTACAATGTGATATTCTAGTTTTGAACGAAGTTTCTTTTTGGTTTTTTGACACTCTCTGTCCCCAGGTATCAAGTCAGTGATAGCGCAGTTTAAGCATCTATTTTGTCCTTTGATCCTACTAAATTATCTAGCCAGTCGCACATTTTAGGAAGTCAACCCGATCATACAATACCTAATTGGCTCTAAGTGCAACATCCCCCATGCCCCAAAGTATAGAATATGACTAGAAGTAAAAAAATAAAAGAAGACGGAATAAATGATCTTCTACACATGTGCCCTTCTGTGGACAGCGAGTGGGAGAGATACCATTAAAGGGATTAATTACCGTAAGCATTTCCAATTAAGGTTGTGTCCTGAAATCCAATGGTTATAGCAAGAGTGAGGATCATAAGTATCCAATTTATTTCTGGGATATAGATCTGTCCATATATATGTTTTGAGGTGTGTACAACTTTGACTCGGGGGAAGCAACCAAGTGCGTGACACTGCTTGATGATGGAGAAAGTGGCGGTGATAACAGCTTGACTACCAACAATGGAAGCAAGGGTTGCAATAACAAAGACAGGCCAATACACAGGTCCTGCAGGGCGTACAAAATTGTCAAATAATTGAAAGAATTTGCAGTAGTTAAGTTTTGACAGAGATTCAGATTAACTAACCAGGTATTGAGTCATAAAAACTGTTATGGATGGAGTTGAGATTTTTAGACAAAAAAGCGGCTTGGCCCATGTACTGTATTACCAAACAAGGGTATATCACAAAAGCAAATGCAAGCTGCACAAAAACAGAAAAAAGCTAATAAATTTCTCATCTTCACACAGGAATTGCATGCTAATTACCAGCACAGTAAAGATACCATAATGTAGATATTAAAATTTTCACATCTTAATGCAAAGACAAGGAGTATATCACACATTTCAAATAATCATATTAAGTCAAGTTACAGGCTCACCCTGATTGACGTAGCAGTGAAATGACCGAGATCGGCAAACATAGCTTCAGTTCCTGTGAGAAAGGTAAGCTAGTAGTGAACTTCAGGTCTTAGTTCAATATGTTAGCTATTAACAATTGAAGTAGAAATGGAAACATTATGTCGCAATAAATTTACGATGCATGAAAACCGAATGCCATGCTGATCTAGGTTTGACAAACCAGTTATACAGAGAAGAATCCCTCCAAGAGAAATCCAGCCTTCTCTACCAGTCTTGATGAAGAACTTGAAGATATAATGAGGAGATAAAGCTCGAACTATCTTTGGATTCCAATATATTGTATTATAGAGCCCAATAGAAAAAATCGAAATAAGCCAGACTATAACAATTGGTGCAAACATAAATGCTACTTTATGGGTGCCAAAATGCTGGAGAGCAAACAAGCCAACCAAGATGACACAAGCAAGCAAGACAAGTACACCTGCAAATAAAATGGAATTTCCATGGTAAGCCAGCTTTTATATTCTTAACATTGGTAACTAATGATAGGAACTCTAACATCTTCAACACAATACAAGAAATAAGAACTAACTCACCATCAGTGATTTTTTTCCCAGTTGCTCGTATTCCTGACACTGATGATAGAACTGCAAAGTTGGGGTGTGATGGGTGGTTAATTTCTTATTATACACCAGATTATCCTCATAACAAAAGTTAAACAATCAACAATTCAGAAGGGCAATAATAAATATTAAACTGAAGTTGTTATCTCGTTCCAGTCTGTGAAGGCTATTCTATGAGCACCTACGAGCATTAGATAAAATTCATAGACAAGAAAACTTAGTTGACTCCGAAAGGCCTTTTAGTCTAAAGTAATGTTTAATTTTAGCTACAAAGTTTAGAATACAAAAACATAAAATTGGAGAGTCCATAATGTCTGTTGGAAGCCATTGGCTGGTAAGTACTCGAACATATCCTTTTCAATTTCTCTTGCATTTTTTAGGACTAGGGATGCACTGCCAGTGCCAAATTACTATAACTTATTAACCCTTACCTGAAATTGCAGGAGTGAGAACACCATCACCTATGACCATGCAAGCACCAAACAATACCACAACTAGAAGTGCCGTTCTTAACCGTTTATGCCTTTCCAGAAACCTCTTTAATGGGGAAGAGTTTACAGCCTGTGAAGAGGGACCATATTTGTAGGATGACAACTCCTCATCAGCTGCTTGTTGGTTAGGAAGTAAATTAAACTTGGCATGCCTACAAAGCAGTGAGTAGAGAGCAAATGTCCCACCTAGAAATTGTTGTGTTATAATCAGAGCATAAACTTTATAGCCTTTTCACCACCCCAAAAAAGTTGAAGTAAAAATAGATGCTATAGGAATGCAGTAACCCATATGCAGAATTTAATCGCATAATACCTTCACCATTATCATCAGCGGCCAACAAGATGAGCACATATTTAAGCAAGGGTATGAATGTCAGGGTCCAAAATATCAATGAAAATGTGCCCAAGATGGTCTCTTCGTCATAGTGCTTCAACAACTTCCCTTCAAATGCGCTTGTAAAAACATAGAGAGGTGATGTACTTAAATCTCCGTATACAACACCAAAGCTTTGATATGCCAATATTAAATTCCTAGAGAGGTTTACCCATGACATCTGCGAAGCACCAGAAAATAAGAAAACCATGAGGCTTTAATCATTTTAACGATTACATGTTTTGAAAAAGAAACAGTGCCATGTCAGTGGCCACGAATCAAAATATAATATGTTAGAATTATACGTCTAGAAACATTTTAATAGGTAGAAAATTTATTAGAATAACTTTCTGAAAAAGAAATCACATCAATTGTTAATAGCCAACATATTGAACGAAAGAAATAATTCAAACAACATCTACTGTCACGTGAAATACAACAACTAATAGAACTTGATAATTCAAAATGTTGATGTATAGATCTCAATAAATTGTAGATTACAATTACGGTCTTTTCTTCTAACTTCCATCAAAACATAAAAACGTGCCAAGTTTCCATTTCTGAGAAGACTGACATAAAACGATGGTGAATTACTGAAACCCCGTCGCGTCGATCAAGCTCAAGGAAACAACAAAATATTCACCGTCTCTTGAGAAAATCATGATGTTTCTGTCAAGATTTCATTGGCCGCCAAGGTCTATCCATTCTAGTCTATTTTCAAGGAAAGATGCGCCTAACTGGCTTGAGAGTAATTTACTTTCCGCCTAAATATCAACCTTTTCAATCAAATAAAAAAGAGTGATGAAACGATGAGCATAGGATAACGTAACCACTCTAGTGTGTTTCTATCGAAATTGGATCGCTGAGTTTCTACAGCAAATGAATATATTAAGATTTTATGCTGAGACAAACGGAATCATGAAATATATTTGCTATTTGCATGATATAATTCTCTAGTAAAATTTAGAGATTGAGTTAAATATACAAAAGAGTAGTCTGGACCGGAATTTAGACAAAAACACGGAATCCAATACAAAGCAGAGTAACAATAAAGAATTCGGCAACACATCCACTGAACCAAGTCAAAGAACTTCAGTTCACCGAAAAAGAAAAACTTAGCTCCCACTGACTTAACCATGGCCATCAAAAGCAAGCAGAAGCAAGAACCAGGATACAAGAAAGACCCGCAAAATAGTTCAAATTTCAAACCATTGCATTAGCACGGTACAAAAAGGCAAGTGAGATCAAACCGTAGAATAAACCAACAGAAAACGAAATTCAGAAGCAAGTTTATCACAGGGAAAAGAAAAAAACTTCGACACTGGCGTTTATTTCAATTTTAAAACAATGACAGAGCAAAAACGGATGGAAGTGCTAACCGGAGAAGGACTCCGATTAGCGGGAAGTCCGGATTCCATTTCCATGAAGGGGCGCAGCCAAACTGGAATGAAGCCGAGTCACTACTGTTGGGTGCGTGCTGAAAGCCACTCAACCAATGCGATATTCTCTCACATCCCAGTGCGTTCAAGTTCCCATTCAATACGAAGTGGCACTAAATACTGAAACAGAGAAACCTTCCGTCTCCATCTCCCACAGTGAAAGCACGTGCCAACTGGCGCAGGTGATGTGCGCGTGAGCTTATCATCTGGCTTGTAGGACCCCAAATGCAGGAGGAAGATTGAGTGGAGGACACACATTGCCCATTGGCAGGGGGGAGGGGACGATTTTGAACTATTAATAATATTATAATTATAATTAATACGGATAGAATAATTTTATCTAGCCATGAATAATACAATTTGTAATCAGAATAATTTATATTTTATACGTGCACGTGATATATATATATATATATATATATATATATGGGGTGCTATGGTGTGAAATTATGAACGAAGAATGCATGACAAAACAAGAAAATAATTATTGACCCAAAAAAAAAATATTATCTTACGTTCTTAATATAAAAGTTAATTGTAAAGTTAAATTTAATTTTAAATATAAAACATCAATCTACTTTCTCTTATTTTTTTCCATTGTGAGAGATTTTTACTAAAAATAATTCTAATAATCAAATACATAGGATTAAAAGAAAATAATTTCAAGAAATTAACAAACCAACTTAAACTAATTTTTTTAATATTCTGAAATTAATTATCTAAATTTTATATTAAAAAACAAAGGTAGTATTAATTAGTTAATCAAAATTCGTGGCGATATCTTATATTCCATTCTATCTCATGAGCAAGGAACATATGCCAGGTTAATAATGCAAGGGATAGAGCGTACGTAATCGCAGAATTGACATACTGGGAATCACAATATGATCATATATGCCTTTTTTTTCCCCAAAAAAACAAATTTTGCCATCAATCACATTTATACGCCTAATTACACTATAAAATAAATCTAATCGAAATAATACGAACCAGATGCTCTAGTTTCTTGTTCTCAGGTGGCGTGAATGCATCCGCGTTCGTGCATAGGAAATAAATGAGGATGCAACGTGGCATAATAGGGGGCTTTGCAGACGTGGCATTCACGGTTTTGGAGTCCATGCGGGAGATGATGAGTGCTGACGGCATCCCCCGCGGGAAAGGGAAACTCCTTGGCGCGTGTCCTTAGTGCACTCCTGTGGAGATTTGAGCGTCCAAATTTAAGTTGTTCTCTTTTCTTGTAAGTTACTTCTTTAGGATAAAAATGTGTTTAATTTTTATTTTGATTTTAAATATAAGATTTTAATTAATTTTTAAAGTAATATTAATAATAGTTTTAAATAATATATTTGATTAATATAATATTTTTAGAAAAATAACACGTATTTATTACAAATTACTAACTTTAATTACTGTTTTTCTGAATTCTCAAATCAAGAGATTAGACAAGTCCTTTAATTATAGAAACTTAACTCTTATATTAAAGACCAGAAATAGCATATTATGGGCCATTTAGAATGTTTTATAAATGTCTTTTTAATCACAATTTATTGAATACCAGATAAACATATGAGAGAAATTTTGTCTCAGATTCATATGAAACTTGCTTATAAATATTTACAATTATGAATCCAAATGGCCCCGATATATATAAGGACGACGACAACTAATAATTGACAAAACACGGTGGGAGAATACAAATTGTAAAGGTCTACATGCACACATTCATGCATTGAATGGCTTCCCAAAAAAATAGGAAGATAGTACTCTTCCAATACTTAATATAGGATTAATTATTAAGTTGATTTTGGTTATAAACATAAGACATATTTTTATATTTATTAATTTTTTTATAAATTATCCCTATAGATGCTTTCTCAACTATAATAAAGTAAATAAAAGAAAAAGATATTAAGAAAAATGATTATGGTATTTTAGGAAAAATAAATCATATTTTTTATAATTAACTAACTTATCTGATTTTTTTTAATCTAAAAAATTAGTTAACTAGTTTTTATATTAAGAATTGAATGAATAAAAAATAAAACCATAAAAACGCAACAGTACACGTTTATCTGTCCACGGTGGTGGATCCGATCTAAGCATGTTAATTACTGACATATGACATCTCAGGGAAAAATTCAATATTTTTATTTTAGTGTATATCAATTATTTTATTTTAAATGTGTCTCATAAATTTCGCAAGCACCTTTTAGTTTTCAAATTAGTCAAGGAATGTGAGATCAGAGATTGTCAATTTTTAGGTTGAGTTCGGTTTAAGATGATAAATGTCCACATTAAAGTTCTAGCGTGACGACAACTATAATAACCGATCAGAAACCTTCATTTTCCCCCAAAAAAGGTAGGTCAGGAAAAATCCGGTCCCGTTGTTATCGCTAGCATTTTTCAGCACAACGTCGTTTTATAAATATATAACTCGTGGAATGACAACACGGAGAGCAATATGCCACAGAGCATGTCTCACGGATCGATAATCATGCATCTTAATTATCTTATATCAACAACTTATGTACTGTCGTTGAAAACAATCTCTGTGTCGTTTTTATGTTTTTATTATTAACTGTTTAATTGAAATAAAAATTGGGGTGTGTGTGTGTGTGTGTGTGATTGTGTCAATGTTAACATAAATTACCGTTTAGATGATTATTTGCTCTCCGCCCAAACCTTCTTTTACCATCCTTCCCTCACCAGTTCTCCTGGTCGATTCTTTGAAAATTTATTACGTGATTCTAAGAAGAAAATATAATTACCAAAAAAGTGATAAGTTGAGACTTTTGTACGATTATATTCTTTTGCCCCGAGAAATTAATATAATGAATGACAAGTTGTTATTTTTTTCCTCTTTTTTTTGGGGATTTTTTTGTGATTACATTCTTCTTTTGGGACTTTTATGATGATTTTGATTTTTTCTTAATTATATGTGTTGACTTTAATTAATTCGAAACAGTACGTGCTACATTTTTTCTTGGGTTTAAAATTTAATGATAAAATCTCATCCAAAAAAAAAAAAAAGATAAAAGTGCACGCGTGCCTCTGATCCGTAACGATTAAAGATAGACCCGAACGGATCTGCTGCCAATGGTTATCAAACTCGAGTGGTTAGATAGGCTTCCCACGTCAATTTCCTTACGCGAGCTTGAATTGTTCAATGCTTGTTTTTCTGAATCCTCAAATCAAGAGATTAGACAAGTCCTTCAATTATAGAACCATGCCAAGCAACGCATCATTTATTATAGCTTGTCCTTTAGCTTTTTAGAATCGTCACTTTCAAGCCATGTTGTTTAAAACTTCCTCATATGAGCCATATGAAATGAAATCAACTTTTTTGAATAATATTATTTCTGTTTTTAATTATAAAACCTTAGTTATAAATAAGGTCTTATAATTAATTTATAATATAGAGTACATAATATATCCATTATCTCTCTAATATATGGCATATTACGTTAGATTCAGGTTTGAGTCTCTATCCCTCTGCCCATTACACGTGGACGCTACAGAGGAAGCAGCCAAGAAGGCAGTAGTAAACGATATTTTTTGCACGTGGTAAAACTGTTTTTGGGTGGATCAATATTATTGGACAGAAACTGAAGTAGAAGAAATGGGCTACCTGGAGGCCCATACTATGGGTAATCAAAGCCCACTTACCCACACAACTCATTTACGGACTCGGAACTCGGCAGTTGAAAACTACTGGACGCACAAAACATAGAGACCAGCCCCGAAATTAGCAGAATCATTTATCAGAATCAGAAGAAGTAAGAGGTACCTCCCAGTTCAAAACCCTCCGGCATCTTTTCTGATATCGTTGGCATTTTGCTCAGCAGTGGGCTATGCAAGTAATCACCCGAATCCAAGCCCATATACGAGCACGAAGGCCAGCTTGTTGATGGTTCAAATCCCGGGTCTGTGCCTTGCTCCGAGTATCCAAAGCCATTATTGTAAAACTCTTGACTCATTTCGTAACCTATGGAGCTTGTAATATCCGGTGGCAATGGAGGGAGCTCAGTGTTGCTATCATCATACAACTGGCGGAAGTGGGGCACGTTATGTACGTCCATCGTGGGTGATTGATATTGCTGGGAATAAATCCCTGAAGAAACTGCCCAGGCATCAGCATCCTTTATGCCCAAGTACCCGGCCGAGAGGGCGCATTCCGTCGGCCGGTCAGCAGGGTTGGGTTGTTGAGCTAGCAAGTTGGAACCAAAGAGAGACGAAAAGTCGTGGTTCTGGTGGGATTCCTCATCGGGGGAGACAATGGGAGTCACGGAGGAGCCAGGAGGAGTATCTAAGTAGACGAAGTTGGTTCGAGCGCGAGAGCCACGCATGGAGCGTGCTGCTCTGTCGTAGGCTAAGGCAGCTTCCTCGGCAGTGTCGAAGGTGCCAAGCCAATGCCTTTCTTTGGTCGAAGGGTCTCTAATCTCTGCCGCGTATCTTCCCCACGGCCTTCTCCGAACACCCAGGTATCTTCCTGCCCACGCCGTTCCATGTTGTTGCTCTGGTGTTTTGGCGCTTGTTGACGCCGTTTGCTTCCTTTTCGCCTTGGAAGGCGATGACGAGGTTGATGGGTTCATTAAGTGCTTGGTAAAATGCTCAAGAGACTGGAAATCGAAAGATGGTTGGTAGAACAGGAAGAAGACTACTCAGGGTCAGGGGAAGACACAAGTCTACGAGTAAATGGTAGTATATTATTTGTAAAGAAGAGAAAATAAGAAGAGAGAGGAGAGTGGGTTAATAACATGCAATGGCTCTTCTCTTTTGTTGGCGGAGCTGTTTTGTCGTGGGAGTCAGCATGTGAGTCTGTGGTTTAAATAAGAGAGAGCTTGACCCTCAATAACATCCTAGCATTCTCTTTATTTCCATCTTTGTCCTTGTTCTGTGAATTAGTGCCAACACGTGCTCTCTTTTTTGTAGCTTTATCTAGATATACTTGTATATAAGCTTCTGCTCCAAGTTATATCATAATTGAACAATCTTATCTATCACAAAGGAAAGCCATTGATTTGAAAGAGAAAAAATAAAAGGAGGGCAGGGCAACAGGATCCATCATCACTTTTTAAGGAAACCCGCATAAGAAATGAGTTTCCAATGATGGGGATAGGTAGGAGCAATGTAAAATATGTACACAAATAGATAGATATCATTAAATTCGGAGATGAGAATAAAAGAAAATTATTAGTGGGTGGCATAGTTATAATTGTAAATGGACCATATAGCATGTTCCCCAGGATACCCCATTTCATGATTAGACTTCAACCAAAGGCATAATTAGAAATTAAAATAGCATTTGTTGTGAATTACCAAATATTAATTAAAATATTCTTTCCGCCATGGAATAGTCCATATAGTCCATGTTTGCTGCATGTGACCTTTCTATCAAATCATGGGATTGTACATGAACAAGGAGCTGATTATGTCCACTCCACACTCAATCTAACAAGATTTAGAATCACTAATAGTTATAATTATATCTGAAGGCCATTCTCATTTATTTGATTAGCCAAAGGGGAAAAGAAAAAGGTTTCAGAAGTTCATAAGAAGCTCATTTGCACATTCTAATGATCATTGCAGGTGGGAGAGGCTCCATGCTCTATTTTGATGATTATAGGGGCCCATTCATTGCGCACATACAAGGTAAGATCTTCCAGAATAAACTACTTGAAATTATCATTAGAAATTATGATGGCGCTATGACCAGGCTATTCATGCTTTAGTTGCATGCTTATGCATTAGCATGCTCCTCCTGCGAAGATTATATTCTATGCTGGTGGTAATGGTATAGATTTTCTCTACTCTATAAAGAATTGAATTAAAATCTTTCTACGTACTGCACACACCAAAATTTGATTTGCAATATCAGTGAAATAAGATCTAGGTATCTATATAAATATCATAAATGTTCGTGATTTTTATATGCATGGAGACTTGCGGTTAAAATTTTTCAGAAGTAACTAATCACTCAACCGAAAATATAATGAACCTTATTATTGAAATAACGATTGTCAGTCTGGCTCAATGATTGCACCAATCTGAGATATATCCGACCTCTTGAATGCAATTCGTTACGCATGAGTTGCAGTTATAAACGATGGGTTATTTATTTTCTAGTTTATGTGTTGTCATGAGTTACAATTCACCACGCCAATGTGTTTCACTATCGAAGCCTGTCTTTGTCTAGGATTTTTTATATGAAAAAGAGTAAGAAGTTGATCAAGTAGTAGTGAGTATTTTAGAAATTAAGAGGGTACGAAATGTTTATTAAATAGGTGGGACGGTGGGAATTTAAGTAAAGATTGCAAGCTTGGCATCCTTGTATATATAAAAAAAGTGTTTATTAGATTATTATTGTCTAACTTAATAAGCTTTTCCTTTTAATAATAGCTTACTTGGGAATATCATTACCCACCCATGTGCAACCAATTCGAGCTATCAAATCAATGATATGTTCCACAGTCTTCCACTCTTCCCCTTCTTTTTGTCAAAAACCACAGCTCACCTTTTTGAAGAGGTGATATAAATTATTGCAGGTTTTTTTCTCTGATAATTTTTCCAAGTTAGGAGCTAGCATGTATTCTTTGTATTCCATTACGTTAGAGAATACAATAGAAACAAAATGATGTGGTGAAACCGTGTTGGGGAGCATGTGAGAAAGACACATAGGCATAACTTTCTTGAGAAAAACAATGAGTAGGCATTTCTTAATTAGCGACAACTAGTTGCAAAAACCTGGTGGTTAAATTACTTTGACCAAATGTCCCGTCCTTAATTATAACGTGGATGAAATATATAAAAGATCTAGGGAAAACTCTGGCCGTCAGAAAGATTGAATAGTACAAAAACATCCTGAATATTCTTATTGATTTTAGGTTTCATGACATCTAACGTATCTCTGTGACAATGAAACTATTATTCTTAAGTGCTCCGGCCTGGAAATGATGACGCATGGACTAATACTTGGCTTCTGGTTATTAGTTTCTTTCCTTTTTCCTTTGCTTGTCAATCCATGTGTGAAACTGCGTAAAGGGAACCAAAGGTGATTTCCGGGTCAAGGAACCTTGAAAAATCCGTAAGAGGCATATATATGTTAATTTCATGCTCCTTTTTGCCGACCCAATTTGCAAAGTTCCATCGGGATTTGGAATATTTGGTTTTGATGCTGTTCATTATTTTAGGTTCCCGATTGATAATGGACTCTGTCTTCTTCAATGGCATTTAGTCATGCCTGTCCAAAAGTATCTTAACCCCACATCCGCAAAATAAGCAAGTTATAGTCAATGATGCTTTATGATATTTGCGTAAACAATATTTAAGTTGTAATCGGCTGTTGCATATGATCAAAGCTCAAACTTATGATATTAGAGTATAGAATTTTATGTTAACTCTTGTGTTTAAAGTTAATCCTTACTTGGTTAATGTTTATAAGCATTGTTAGTGAATTATATGCTGCCAGTTATTTTAAATTATTTTAAAATTGTTAGAATTTCTTTTCTTTTTTCAAGTTTGTGTGTGAAGTGAAAAATTATTACAATCTTCTTAAGACCCAGGTGAGGAAATTCTTCACTCATCCCTATTTTATTTATTTTTATTGGTTGGTCTGAATTTTAAAGTACAAAGACACAGCAAGCATCCCCATGTGGTTTGGAAACCGATTAGGATAACAGTGTGTGATAAAATAGTGAATACAAACTCACTCAAATTGCATTTACAAATGGGTAAGCTTACAAATAGAAAATGTTCCTGGGAAAATGTAAACAAAGTCGTACATAGCACCTAACATGCCACGTAAGCATGGACCAGAAATTCAAATGCTAATATCGAGGAGTTTATTCTTCCTTAGAAATTAAGTAAACAAAACGCAGTGGGCAATCCCAATCCTATTCATTCTTTTTGTCCTCTAGTGGTTACATATGATAGGAGGGCATCTTTCATTTTCTGGGAACATCCTCTTCTTAGAACACGAGCCTAAGCTCGAGGTTCTGCTTTTCTTTCCCATGTGCTGCACTAGTGGGCAATGCAACCTTCTATGGTTCTGTTGTATTTGAGGAGGAAAAAGAAGCCATCTGAAAAATAAAACTATATGCATGTTGCTATCTAATTAGCAACAGTAAAACTTGTTTTGATGAATATTCAAGTGTGAAAGAAAAGTTTGAATTTTAGGGTTAGGGACCCGCCTAGATCTACAACCACAAGCCGGAGCATGGCTCTCACCAGTCTCTGTGTCCAGGTGTGATGGGAAAATGTGACTCTTACGGTAATTTTAAAGCTTAAATAATTCTGCTGGGCCTACATTTTGCTTGCTGAAAGATGATGATCCTATGTCTGATGACATTGACCGTTTTGTGCAACTTGTATTTGATAATTCAAAGAAAATAATGAACCGTCCTTTGGCAATCAACTAATAATATAAAATGAAAATTAAGTTTACGAGTGAGAAATCTCCAGTACATATCTGTTTGTTTTTTTCACCCATTGTTACTTGTTAGTAAATATCCCATCATAATAATTGATCACAAATTCATATCATTATCTTAAGAGAGAAAATTTATCTGCTTGACTCGTTGATTTGTCCAGTTACGAGATCCTAGGATAAATTTGTCCACTGAAATCCCGCGACAGTTTGTTTATGTGCGAGTTTAGTATTTTGCAGCTACTTTAGGTGTTTGTCATCAACATATTCCAGCTGATCCCTAATTTCGTCTTGATGGGATAATCGAAAGTCCGGTGTAATTCTGATGATTTAGAGACAGAAATGGAGAAGATTTATAGGAATTACTGGCTTGAAAACAATTAAGTAGAATGACTTCTTCACTGCTGTTGAGCGTGAAGAGATTGGAGCTTCACCTTAGAAGACTACAGAATTTTGGCTGTGCTATTCGTTACAAGGCCAGAATCTCACAAATGATGCTACTTTAGAGGCTTCATATTGAATGGCGGGGAAGCAGAAAACTTACTAGCCTATGAAGAATGATCTCTCTGGAGAAATCTACCACAATATTTTACATGATCACAATGAAAGAAAGCCAAAAAAAAGCTACATCAAAAGTCCATAGCCAAATAGGGTACCCAAACCGTTAGTTTACAGTTTGTTCTCCCTCAAATTGGAAGGAGTTACTGGACACAGTAGTTGATTTATTACAGAAACCAACTGCACAAGGGTACAGAATATGTCAAAAACCAAAGCGAACGGCTATCCCTTGAGAAGTAAGTGCCAGGAGATTGGGTTTAGAAGACATACTAAGGTGTTGAGCAGTAGAGTGTATTTTGTAACAGTTAGGTGACAGAATTTGGCTTTCTGAGACATCTGATATTGAATTTGAAGGAGGATCAATTGGCGCATCTAGCTTCTTAAGACTTCTGTCCTCTGCCACTACTCTCAGAAACTCCTCCAGTGCCCTGCACATCCAATCATATCGGCAGAGTCTGAATGCATCCCTTATGTTCAACTGTGAAATCAGATATGCACTTGAGTTAGTCATAGAGGTTTTTTAATGGAAGCAATCCTCTCTGATATGTTCTTGATAAATTCACCGTTAAAAAGTAAAAACTGCTATTTATTTAAGCATATCATTAGAACATCTTAACAAATTGATGTGTGATTTTAGTACATCTTATGTGGATTTATTCAACAGACTCACCCACTGACGATTACGATTTTTCTGCTCTGGCCAGATCTCAAGTTCTTCAGTCACCTCTAAGGCAAACATGTATCCTCTGCAGCCTCCTTCCAGGGTGCACAAGTCCTGGCTGCTTTTGCTTCTGAACTCCCACATGCCCAAGGGAGTTTCCTGAGCAAGGAAGACTACGTCAGCCTTTTAACTAATAATGATGATTTCAAAATTTAACACAACACTATTGCAACATGTTGGAATCCTCTGACTTTGCCTCATTGTAAAGTTGGTCGTGAAGTTGTATGGGATATAGAGTTGATGAAGGAGGATGGTTTTTTTATTTTTTATATTTTTAAATCCATAGCTAAATTCGTGGAACTCTAGAGACGCAGAATTAAGGGAATTTGAATCAACATGCCTATATATTCTAAATTTTCTTAGCCTCGGACCTACAAAAAATGCTCCCTGTATCGCGAGAATTACTGTATTATTTGCCCTAGAAGATTTGATTATCAGAAATAAAACTGGAAGCTTTTGCAAACTGGTGCATTTTTTAGGAGATTTGTGGCATCTTCATCCGAAATATTTGAATTCGATCATAGTTATCATTTCATAGAACTGATATGGACAAACTTTAGCATTTTTGTGCCTCTAAAATTTCCACGACGAACTGATCTCTTTTTTTACATTCATGAAGTGGAGAATTGAACCTACTCTCAGTATTCCTTTGACTCCAGCTTCTTCAAAACTTCCCGGCAAGCAGCTTCCATGACAGTCTCATCGTTCTCCCATCCCCCCTGAAACCACAACCAAGTTACAACTTAAATTATGAAGGAAAATACCTCATGCTAGCGAAGGACAATGGCACAGGCAAGATCAAGTTACCTTTGGGAATACAAGGTCGTTGCGTTTTGGTGAAGAAACCATAAGAACTTCTATTATGTCCTCCATATCTCCCTTCTGATGGTTCTTATTCTTTCTCCATCTATACGGAATGCATCTGATTGTATGGAATGCACAGATAAGCAATTTTGATTAAACCATTGATTGCCAGTATGGTACTCAAGCTAGCTATAACTGTGCTGAAATATTTGCTTGCTAAACAAAATGAAGTGAGCTGCTTATGAATATTCAGCATTAGTTATTTTCTGTACTTTCTTATGGAATCTCAAACAGAGACTGACCATTTTGGTAGTTCCTAGCAATTTAAGTTTTTACCCGATTCATCAATTACTCTAAGACTATACTATCTCAGATAGTACTAATTATAAGACATTATTTGTAATAATCAATAGCGGAGGTAGTATTTGCTTTTTACTTTCATCTCGTCCTTTCTGTTTTTGTACTCGTCACAGCTATCATCAACGTCTTCGATATGGATCCCACTTACCCCAGTTGTGTACTGTGGTTGCCGCAATTATGTTACTCATAAACAAGACTATCTTTTTATAATAATGATAAACGCCAAAACAGAACACGTAATTTAAAGAATTTAATTTAATAATGTGTTAAGTCAATGATAATGTGGCCCATTGCCGTGATATGATTGCAAGTGACAAGCATGGAAAATACAAAGAAATATAATAAACCTGAGCAAAGAAGATAATTATATTATACAAAACTGATGGAGATGCCCTTCTCGATTTATCAAAAGAAGTCAGATAACCACTCCTGAATAAGAATATAGTAATTTTTTATAGGGTATATGATACTAAACAAGTGACGAGAAAGATGGGAAGAGTGAAAAGTAAGCAAGAGATAAACTAGAACCCTTAGCTGCAAGACGTTATACTTAAAGGCAGATCTTTATCTTCTTCTTCTAAAGGAAGTGTTTTAGAATGTGGAATTTAAACTAACTAAACTGCACAAGTACTATAATGCATGTCAAGATCGAAAATAAGGAGGTCAATAGGATCTGGGTCGAAGAAAGACTTACCCAGAGACAAGTCGCAAATTGTCTTCGTAACGTTGTCGAAGTCGTCCTGTTCGTGCTGACACTTGTACAGACGACATGGTGGGTTCTATTTTCTAATTTTCAGACCAAGAATTCTTGAAACTAAGAGAACTGGGAAACAGAGGAACTTCAGAACAAAATTGAGAGTGTCACCCAGGCTATGCCGAAGCAAAGAGAGAAAGAACAAAGTAAAGATTTTGCAGCAGCCAAGGTTAACGTTGTGGATTGAAAGATTCAGCGAGCAGTGGAGGTTCTACGTCTGGTTATTACAGTTTTAAAAGGCTTTTTGGTCTGTTTCTTTTCACCAAATGGCAGAATTAACACCAACCCCTGTATCGACAATAATCCCTTTTCAAGAGCAAAGCGAAAACGAAAGAAAAAAGGAAAGAAATAAGAGGAAGGGATGGTTTCCACAGAACACAGAGCAGCTGCTGTCTGCGGGGGCCGCACCAACGGCATCAGTTTATATAGTAACCCAATCACAAAAATTCAAACTTGTAAAGCGCTAATTTTTATTATTTTAATATAGAAAACATATTCATGCAAATATTTTAATAGGGTTAAAGTACGTTTAATGTCCTGAAATATTTTCTCAGCTGCATCCAGTATTTTGAAATATTTTGTAACACATTCAACACCTCAAAATACTTTTTAAGTGCATCTAATCCCTAAATATTTTTCTCTTGTCTTAGTGCTAAATATACTAAAAAATATTTTTAGATATTAAACGCATCTAAAAAATATTTTGAAGTATTGAATGCACAAAAAAAATATTTTAAAATGTTGGATGTATTTGAAAAAGTATTTTGGGGTGTTGGTCTTGATCCTACTTTAATATGGCAACCGAAATCTCTGATGAAGCTTTTTTTTTTTGGGGGGGTGTTCTTTTTCATGTGAATGGACTTAAATTATTTCTCCCTTACATTATGAAGGTTTTTCTTCTATTTCTTACTCCCTCCGTTTCTTATTATAAGAGATATTTGATGCTTATAGTATGTTCCTATATATAAGAGACACTTAAAAGTTGTCTCTACTTTTTTGTGTTGATTTTTTATTTTACCCATATTTATTATCTCCAACTCACACACTCTCTCTCTCCCACTTCTATTTCTTTTAACAATTTAATTATTCTCTCTCCTTATTAATAAGGGTATTTTTGAAAAAAAATTATACTTTTTACATATTAATTATTCTTAACTAATTTTAACTATTTTTTTATCAACGTACTTTGGTTATTTGTCTCTTATAATAAAAAACGGATGGAGTATTTTCCAGCCGCATTATGAATGTGATTATTTATATCGAACTTGTAACAGAAAGTCAACCAATTAAATGAATGTGCGGTGGTGGTTAGAGATCTCTCTGATTTTCCTTTATTATTTTTCAATTTTTCATTTCTTTTTTTGGGGGGGGGGGGTTTGCCTGATTTATCAATGTGGCCCCTCCTCTTTCAATAAGTTTCGTTCGATATCCCTTTTCTGGGCAACGTTGGTTTGGTCCTCCCCCTTTTTACCTTTCAAATTAGGGTGGATTTTGTGATCTCTTGCCAGAATTTTTAAGAATAAATTACATGACTCATAATTAGCGTCACATTTTCAAATGATTTACTTTCTACTTTGCCTATTATTAATACAGCCATTTTTAATCTGTAATCAACACAGTTTAACTATATATTTATTTTGTCAATATATACGGAACACGAACAATTACCGCTACCCACACATAGTATTAAGATAAAACCGGTCCATAGTTTAATAAAAACTACATGCTACATAATTAGAACGAAAGGGATGAGGTTTCCGCATTGGCTGACAATATATATATATAAATATATATATATATGTTGGCCTATTAATTATTCACTGTGGGTTGATACGTTTTCGTTTACAGCATGAGACTTCTCTGTTATTAATCACTACCGAAAACAATTCTTTGTTTTGTTTCTTTCTTTATATTTATATGTATATATATAATATTTATCGCGTGATTCGGTAAACTGATAAAGAATGATATGCACCTTCTGCATGCTTTTTTTTAATTAATTTAATTATAAAGGTTTTGTTTTTTTGGACTATAATTCTGGGGGCGACCACGGCTTTAAAAAGCATATATCTGTTTCCGTCTCTAGAACCAATATAATTTTGTGTTCACCTGGTAATTAATTATTTATGATCCTCTTCCAAAGCAAAAAGGGCAATCATAGGAGTGTGTCTTTACGTGGTACTGTCCAGAATATGAAGGTTTAAGCAACAAAATTATAATCATGGGATTTCTCTGCGAATGATATGATATCTCCAGATCAAACTTTTTTTTTTTTTTCCTCGTTGTGGTCCTTACGATGAAGTTGCCTTCGTCTTGCTCTGTGACTTAGGAGAGGACTACAAAGATGACAGCTTATTAAAGTTTCTAAAGAGTTAAAAAAAGAAGGAAATTAATTATTGTTACTTTACCTAATGTATACCAAACACAAATTTTTTTTTTTTTAAAAAAAAAACTAGCTGTTCGATGGAGGAAGACACAGTGAGTTGCAGGATTGAAAGAATGGAAACAAATAAGATATATTAAGGCAAGGTGAGAAATACATTGAGCCCTATTTTATTTTACTTTTAAAAAAATAATACTACTTCCTGTCCTTACTATAACAGGTATATTGATTTTTAATTTAGTTTTAAATATAAGACGTAGTTGGTCCTTGCAGTAATTTCACCTGCTAAAAATTTCATCAAATGGTAATTCTAACTGATATATATAAGTAGTAAAAATATTTTAAAAAAATAATACATATTTATTATAAATAAATAATTTAGTATTTTTTTTTTAATTAGCAACTGGAGGTAGTGATATTAAAGCTTGCAATTTAAGGTTAATTATGATGTCGATCGATGAAGAGTTGAGAAGGATGAGGGAAGAGAGAGACAAATGATGGAGGGCCATGGAAAGCATTAAAGATTTATGGTGACAGTTTCTTGAGACAGAACATTTAATGAGAAATCATGGAAGACCCACGGGCATGCCGACTTATTTTCTGCACAGATCATAAATGATGCTCTCCCATTCAAAGCTCCATCCTCCACATTCATGGCAGCGCATCAAACTCTCTCAGCCTGAATATACTCCGTCTAAACTAATAAACTACTTCTCTGGTCCTATTTATAGAGTAAAGAGAAAAGGTTTTTTTTATCTTATTTATAAGTCACTTCATTAACTTTTCAGTGTGAATGTATTATTTTGTCCTTCATTTATTATAGTGTAAGTAGTTATCTTTTTTGAAAGGAGTATATTTTAAATAGGAGTAAAGTTAGAAAGTTGCTATATTTTAATGGAGAGTTAATGCAGTTTAAGGTTTTCCTTGATCTGTGTGAAATGGAAGTGCCTTATAAATAGGACCAGAGGAGTACTTCTAACATATTTCTGCGATCAATAAAAATATTAAATTTTATTTAAAATTTAATAAATTTTTAATTTTATCCTTATTTAATACTCCCTCCGTTCCTTATTATAAGAGACATTTGATGCTTATTGCATGTTCCTATATATAAGAGACACTTAAAAGTTGTCTCTACTTTTTTGTGTTGGTTTCCTATTTTACCCATATTTATTGTCTCCAACTCACACTCTCTCTCCCTCCTACTTCTCTTTCTTTTAATAATTTAATTGTTCTCTCTCATGCTCTCTCTCCTTATTAATGAGGGTATTTTTGGGAAAAAAAATTATATTTTTTACACATTGATTGTTCTTAACTAATTTTAACTGCTTTTTTTATCAACGTAATTCGGTTATTTGTCTCTTATAATAAGAAACGGAAGGAGTATATATTATATCTTATGTGAATAAAGTTAATACAATAATAAATTATGCGTAAAATTGTATATTGATACAAAAAATTTCTCTTAGTACTCTATTAGATCAAAAAATATCTTCTTTCTCTATCCTATAAATAAGACTAAAAGAGTATATAATTATGCAGACCATATATGATGAAGTTAATTTTTAGTGCATTCATATGGTATAAATGTGTACATATGTAATACTAGTATGTGTGTGTCAGTGCGCGCATATATTATTCCACCGGAAGTTTCAAAGATGCCCTGCACATACATATAAATGGGGAAGACGAAGCATCAGATTGTTGAATAAATAAAGGGAATGGCGTCTGAGCAGAGAGGACAGTGTTTGACCAAAAATGCATCAATGTAAATACGAGACCGCTTGCAGCGTAAAACTTGGAAAATATATAAATAGCTTCGAGTTCAAACTCAGTATTTAAAGAGCCATGGTTGCTATTCTTTGAACTCATCTCAAACTACAACATTGGACCACGCATGTGCATGCTCTCTCTTGATTAATTTTCACATTATATACATACATATATATATATATTCTCTGAGGATTAACGATAATATATGTATAACCATTGAACATGCACATGCATGTTATCTCTTCTTTCATTGAATATATCTAGATAGAACATAATTTTTCGTCTATTACATAGAATTTGGAGAATAATTAATCATCAGCCCATCACAAAAATCTGGGTAGGACTGAGATCAAGAATTAGTTGTCCTGTTCTTGGATTATGGACGAACCAAATCCCTTTCTTAAAATTTTATCACAAAAAAAATCTGTATATTATGTAAGAATTACTCTCTCTCTCTTTTTTTTTTCAGTTTTACCCTCCATTTAGTGTCATGCTGTTTTAAATTTTGACTATTTTTATATCTTAAAATTTAGAACAGGATGCATATTCAAAGAGAAAGTTGAAATTCAAGGAAGGATAAGTAAGCCCCAGAAACTTTAGGCTCTAGCTATAGAATAATACTATCTCTTGTTTTAAATAAGATCTTATAATTAGGAATGGATGTAATACCACTTTGTTTCTTATTATAAATAACTTGTATTTCAAACCTGCAAACAAAAAAAAAAATTAAATTAATCAGTTTTTTTTTTCACATTTACCCTTATTAAAAGTTGTGAGAGAGAGGGAAGGGAGGGACTGCATAGGAAATGAAAAGTTAAGAGAGAGAGAGGGAGAGGGAGAGAGACGTGTTTTGAAGAGTCATTATTTCAGACTTAAATTAATTAGTTTTTTATTAAATTAGTAGGGATAAAATTAAAAAAAGATCATTAATTATACTACAAATAACTTATATTTTGAAATAAACTTTTAGAGTGTAAATGACTTATAATAAGAAACAGAATAGTACTATTTTAAAGATATGAAACCGATATGCATTATACAGATTTTTTTTTGTGACCAGAACCATATGTATTATGCAGATTAGAACAAGCATAACCAAGGCGGAAATAATTAAAGAGCTAGGTAGGATACTCTGTTCGAATTAAAACCAAAAAAAAAACAGAGAGAGAGATGGGAAGAAATGT